TGAAGTAATTTTTGTATTGATTAATGACCATTGACCTCTCTTTATTAATTTCAGTCTACTTTAACTATCATATTCAGTTCAACTCGTCTATTCAACACCAACGGTTAGAACCGATCATTTCATCTTCGCACATGCATCGAACTCTAACAATATTGTATCGTGTCATGGACGCTTTGTTGCATATCTTTTTTATTTGTTTCTTTTATTATGTGAAAGAAGAAGAAAAAGGAGTAAGAACAAAAGAAACTAAACATTTCATATATAGAACTGCTTTTCAAATGTAAAGCTATTACTCCTATATATATAGGTTAGGACAAGTTCCTAGTAAGAGGCTAAATGTTTCATACATTTTCTACATAAAGATAACATACTATTTTCATCTTAAGAGGAAAAAAAATATACTGAACATATATATAAAAGGAAAAAGAGAATGACGTGTCGCATCCTTGGCCATTTGGTACTGAATTAGTGCGGTTGGTGGTATTCCATTTATAAGATCAGAGATAGATTTTTTTAATTAATGTTTTTTCAATTAAGCTTGTCAATTGTCATATTAAACTTGACTTCTGTGTGATTTTTGAGTTATTGCACAAAATAAAATTATTCAATGCGGATCCAAAATTAGTGGCAGCGGGTTATAAAAAAAATGGTCTTCAAAGAAAGCAAGTCATTGAGTTGATGCAGCATACGATAATCTATAAAAACAAAAGGTCAAAGATCGTTTTTTTTTTCTTTTGAAAATGTCGTTTTAATTGAGATTGTCGTATCAAACTTATCTAGTGTTACATCTATTGTATAATTTGCAAGTCATTGTACATAATTGAATTAACTTAATGCGCACCAAAAAAGTAGTGGCCGTTCACCACTTATGTTGCTTGGGGAACGTTAGGCAACAAAGTGGTTACAAATACAAAAGAAGTTTAATAAATGGCTATGCCTTAAATGATGCTGTGCAGTATACTGTCCAAAATGTTGGGCAAATTACAGAAATTTCATACTTTTATGAAAAAATTACAATCTATCCCTTAAAAATTTATAATTATAGAAATCTCTCAAACGAATACAATAATATAAGCGTTGATACATTAATCGTTAAGTAAGATACATTACATTTTATACATGATACACTAATTTGATGTACATTTTATACATGATACACTAATCTGATGTGCGACAATGAGGAATTTTGGAGATTTGTAAAACTTATAGGGGATAATGATAATAAATAAACTAAAAGGTGAGATTTCTGTAATTTTTCCCAAAATGTTTGCATTGGGCCGAATGAATAATTTAAGCCCATAAATAACCCGATCCATTAATTCAGTCCAAATTGGTAATTAGTTAGAAAAATAAATTTCAATTTGGTATTGATATTGTCTTCATTAAAAATTTCTTGAATTTTCTAACTTAAATTAAAACAATATTAGTATAACCAAATTAATGAATAGATTGGTGAGTTTCTCCAACTCATTGGGTCGTTTACCAAGGAGAAACCAAAAATTAGGCAAAATACTATCCACTTAACCTAACTAATAATGATCAAATATTACAAACTTACACTTAATGCTAATTTAAGTATGTTGTCAATTTGTACCACTATTAGAGAGACGGAGTCAGAATTTAGAGTTATGGGTTTAAATTTGTCATCGTTCTATAATTATCGTAGTTACAAGGTTCATAGTTAAAATGAAATTCCTAATACAAACATCTGATCTAAATAAAAATTATTGAATTTATCAGAACTTTTATAACTAGTTTTCGGACTCCGTCCCTCCCACATGAGATATTAGATACTGCAATCCAAAAGTACAAGGAGAGCAGTACAAAGTACTTTATACGTACTCCAATTTAGTTGGTAAAGTTGGTTGGTAAATATCAATCAATTTCCCAAGTGATTAAGTGAACAAAATAGTAAAATATATTTGACATAACTACCAATTCATGTTGAAATAATTCAGCTCTAATGTTATGATAAAGAAATAGATTTTGCGTCAATCCAAAAGCTATCTCATGACGTGAGAATTATAAAAAATTATGTAATGAAACAAATGATCTCCTATACTACAATGATGTCAGATAGGGTCGAATGTATCCTTTCGATTATGAGTTCTGAATTCATAACTTATGACACAATAAATAAATATATATGCATAAACCTACTATAATATTTAAAACATATTAGATTTTATCCCATAATTTAATAATACAATGAATATAATACTAAAAATCTTAAAAGTTGAACACTTTATATCACCAATCTATTGTGCCAAGGCCATACAAATAATACAACACTTATAACATGCCACAACCATAATACTTGTTGAAGCTAGAATGGATATTTTTACGATAGCTATCTAAGATTTGCCTGTTACAGTATCCTAATTAATTGAGGATGTTTTGTCAGGACTGTGAGATTATTACATCATTATAGATTGCTTCATAAATGAGCAACACAACTTTTTCCATACCCTTATCATTAAAAGTTCAACTATGTGATATTATAATAACAATAACACTAATATATTAGGTGTAATTTTATTAGTCTGGAGAATAAACCGATTTATCTCTATTTTATGAAGGTAAAGAGATTATTTTCGATAAACTCTTGGCCCTAATAAATTAATTCATTGGCCTAAGGACTTTTTTTTTAAAAGAAAAAAAGGATTTAGCTTAAGGTCATAGGTCGATCACATATCATATCTACTGAAGATTATGTACTAAATATGTGGGGATATTTTTTCCTTTGCATTTGTCCATTTTTTCATGCTGTAGAAAAAGTGGACATCCAATAATTTCGTGTTACATGTGATAGATGGAGATGAATTATTAATGCAATTAAATTCTTATAAAATTGAAGAAATAGAAAAAGAATAAAAAAGAAAAAGATGGACTGTACTATTGGCTTAAAATATTATAGAGTTTGTTGCATTTTGCGCCACTAGCATATCTAATATTTTTTTATGATCTTTATGATTTGCGAGTTATTGTTTTTTTTTTTTATAATTCGTACCCTAATTAATTTAATAGTTACTCCCTCCGTCCACAATTGTTTGTCAGGGTAAGGTCATGCACACCCCTCAATGAAAATTTAATACAAGGTGTAATTTGACTAATATAACCCTGCTATACCAAGAATACCAAAAGTCCACATAACTTTTCAATTGAACTACACTATCATTAAGGGCAAAATTGGAAAAAAGTGACTAATTATTTCTTGATTGTTTAAATTGACAATTAATCTTAGATATCTATTTTTAGTATACCTGTCAAATAATTGTGGACAGAGGGAGTACAATGTTTTTATGTATGGCAAACTTCTTAGAGCAAATAATGCATGAACATTCTTCTACTTATATTTTTGAATTTTTTACTGACAAGCATAAGATACAAACAGAAAATTAGTATAGTATACTTTGGCATTTTAATATATAGCGTTTTTTCCAACAAAAATTATACATTCAAAAATTTGACTTTATTCAATTTAGATTTGGAAAACATTAGTTTCTTCTAAGTAGGGTTCGAAATCTATTATTTATGCGTAATTATTGGGTGAGTTTTTGTAACCAATATAAAGAGTCTATCTAAGCCTGATCACTAGATTGTTTGTCAGTAAAGGTTGCTTATATAAGATATGATTAATCTTTTCTCTTATTGGTAAGTTTTCTCTAATAAGATGAACATGCAATATGATTTTGGATTAGCAGACAGCTGTTAATTAACTAATCCCTTAATTTGGACATTAATAACTAGTAGGAATGAAGGCTTAATAATTAAAGTATGACACTTAATAATTATAGATATGCAAATCACGCTACGTGTTAATAATGCCTTGTGTATATTATAAGAATACTAATCATAATTCTCAACTAAAACTAATTAGTAGGACAAAAGATAGTGGCTCAATTATGGAGTTTGAAGATGACTAATTTAGCATCTTCTAACCTAAATGAAATAGAGAAATGAGTATACATATCTTAATTAGAGATCTTGATCGAGCTAACAACAATAACAACATATTTTATGTGAAATAGGAGAAGGATAGAATATTGCAAATCCTATCTTACTTTTGTGGGTTAGAGATTTTGAGTTTAAATCAGAAAAATAAATTAAAAATTGGTGAAGAACACTTTTCTTTTTTATAAGCAATTTGGTACAAATTTGAATCAAACACCAATAAATTAATCCGAAAACCAAATATTAATATAAAATATTAAAAAATATTTTAACACTATGATTAATATTATAATATCTATTGATAATGCATCTTGGTCACTATTGAAAGTTACTTAATGCTTATTAATTTTTCCACCAAATGTTGTAAGCTTATAAATATTTAGTGCAACAGGCATCACCATTCACTATATTATATATACCTAATATAATTTCACATATTATATATACCTAATACAGTTTTGACAAGTAAACTTTAAAGAGTATAAAAAATATATGCAGATTACACTCCTATTTTTATAGGGTAAAGATATTATTTTTGATCCCTTGTATTGGCTCATTAATCGAATGTGACATGAAAATACAAAATAAATCAACAAAAAGATATAAGAAATAAATCACCAATCCATTTTTTTTAAGTGTATATAATTTCCACCAACTGGAATGGTTACAAATATAAAGCATATTATACATAATTTTTCTAAAACCTACCTAACAAATGAATCTCCCTCTCCTAAACCTAATCCCAATCTTAATTCAAATTTAAAATATAACACTAAAAAAAGTCAAATAAAAAAATTAAATAACCTAAAAAATCTAAATTTTGTGGCTATAGAGGTACCTCTTTTTTCACCAATTAAAAGGTAAAATAGGTGTACGTCAATTAAATTGACACGTAAGCTGACTCATTTCCCCGTCACATGGGTCACAAGGCCCAATTTAATGGTCCACACGTGATACAACACCCCAAATTCCGACAAAATAACATGGGCCGGGTTGGGCCGCCCTTTTCGCCTAATTTTATTTTTTTGGGTGTCAACAAAAAGTCAAAAAAAATAAAATTAGAAGAGCTGACGATGCAACTGGAAAGTGGCTATTAAGAAGGCGACAGCACCGGCTATGGCCGGTGAACTGAACACGTGCATGCACGTGGTGGTTGAAGATGCACTGCTGATATCCCATGCACCATCATATACCATAGAGTTGTTGATCGTTGATGGCTCGTTGTTATTGTTGTCGTTGTTTTGGTTGTTACTATCTTCTGGTTCTTGATTTTGTTCACTTGATGATGATGACGATTTTTGACTGCAATGAAATCGTATTATTGAGTCAGCTATATGAATTCTTATTGATGTAGATTAATTTTTACTCGTAAAAAAAGTAAAGATTGTTTCAATAGATACTCGACTCTAAGTGATAAACCACTTGACAGAATTCACACGAAACTAGACCAATGGGTGGGCAACGTGGATAAAAAGGACAATTCATAGTCTTGGATTCAGAGAATCTCTTTAAGCCGTTAAGTTTGATATTTTTCCCAATTCCCAAAGCTGACTTAATTAGCATTTGAAAGTACTAAAATACCCCTATTACAATGACCTCACATATTGTGTTAAAGTACTAAAATTCACCATAAGTGGAACCCATTCTCCTATGAAATGATCTCACATATTATTTAAAGTACCAAAATACCCCTACTAATCACCTTATAGCCCACATACCCCTACAAATAATGATCTCATAGATATTTTGTCTTTATATTGAAAGTAACGTCCTAACGTTCCATTTGACAGGCCACATTCCCAACTCGAATCCCAATGTGTTTCCCTCACTCCCCACCCAAAAATTTAAAAAAAAATTATAACGAGCTTAGTTGATTAACTATCCGAATGTGATAAAACTGTTTGTCAACATGAACTTACGAGTAAAAAAAAATTAGAGGAAGAGGAATAAGTAAGTTTACCTGGTATTAGGAGAAGGACAAAACGTGATGAGATAATTATTAGCTCCGGCACAAGTGAAAGTACTCGTTTTATCATCATAAGCATAGCTGTAAGCACTCGGACAAGCTTTCTTAAACAACGTTGAATATGACGATGGTTTACATGTCGTTGGATTATTATACGCTCCGGCGCAACAATACTCATCTTTTCGAAAAGCTTCACACGCGCTCTTACACGCGACATTTTCACCTCCCACGCTCATCACTTTCAGCTCCGACGGACACGCGCCATTCAAATCCACCATACATCCGGTACTTGTACAATTGTAACCGGAACCACCTTGTGGTACCACAAGCATTGGCAAGTTGTACCCATCGACTAAACTGACGTCGAAGAAATCCATCCCGTTGGATCCATCTAGTGTGAATTCAGCTAGAGTTGCCGGCGGTAGAGCGTTGCCGCCGGCGCATTCGAGCTTACCGGAACCGCAATCGCCGGTGGCGCAGGTGAATTTTCCGGTGGAATCTTCGGTACAATGTGTACGAGCCCAGAATCTGCCGCCCCATGAAGTGGGTACACTGATTGTTTTCGATTCGCCTTTTTGTAGAACAAAACCAGTGGTGGAAAGTGGAGCAATTCCGGCGTTAGATAATAATCCAGGCCAAATTGTTTGCTGGCATTTATTCACCATTGTAAATGTTGCAGCTGAATTTACACCTATATTTTAGATACCCAAAAAGGAAAAAAAAATCAAATCTTTGAACATTAATTGATCTAAAATCAGCTCTGAAAGATCAAATTTAATGTTTAATTTCCAATTTTAGTTTAAATCTTGGTTTCTGAATTATCCGTTAAAAACAGAGCAAACAGAGAGAGTTTTTTCACTTGTAAATTCATACCAAAAGGGAGTAAAAAAATATACATGATCTGAAATGAAAGCTCTTAAAGATTAAAAAAAACTCAAATTTATTTTCTTTTAAAGTGTAATTTTTTTTTTCTGAATTATTGAAGAGATAAAAACAGAGCAAATAAACAGAGTTTCATTTGTAAATCTTTACAGATGAATATTGTATCTTATTTATACAATATGATCCAAAAAAGAATGCTGTTAAAGATAAAAATCAAAGCTTTTTTTTAAATCATTTTTTGACTTTGTTTCTGAATAATTACCTGTTATGAAGAGCTCTGTAATCGTTAAAAACAGAGCAAAGAAACAGAGCACTTTCACTTGCGCCATTGAAGAAGAAGGTGGGAATATTAATGAATTAATGATGCAAAAGAGAGCTTGTGAATCAAAATCCCTAGTCTTCTCCTTCTTCTTCCTCCTCTTGAAAATGGAAAAGGAGAAATATATGTTTTTTTGGTAAGAAGAAGTGTGAGGATCCATTTATAGAGAAAAATGAAAGAAGTGTAACGTTGAAGTAGTGTGGGACCAGTGAAGTATTGATATTTATTGGTCCGTTTTAATTTGTTTGTTTATAACTATGTATTAGCAACTGATTTATTTGATGCGGGTGAATTTAACTTATTAAGAAGTTCAAAAAAGAAAGATTTTTAATTTTTTTTATCTAAACTAATTTCAATAAGATAAAATGAAGATTTTAAAATAAATTATTATTAAATATAAAATGTATCATTTTTTTTTTGACTAAATAGGATATCAAGTTATATAAATTAGGTTAGAAAGAGTGTCATTTTTGTTCTCTTTCATTCCCAATGTATTTTTTTATTTATAATTTTATTATTCTAACTTAAAAATCACACAATTCGAAAACTTATTTTTACTTTTTAAAGTTACATGTTAAACTAAAATAGGATGAATAAATTAAAATAGAGAGAATATCTTTAGATTAGTAGAGGTTGTTTGGTAGCTAGATAAGGTTCAAGTAATTTATGTATCATTTTTAATATAACTTATATGATGTTTGGTAGATAGATAGGAAATAAGATCTTCATGTATAAAATTAATATGGTGATTGATCGATATTTTAGATATCTACATAATCAATATATGTATAAGTTCTGAAGAAATTATATATTATTTTATACATAATAGAAATTAAATATCTAATATCTACATAATTATACATATATGTATAATTCTAACCAGCTACCGAGCGATCGAAACTAAATATAGTTTGAAGTATAGGCGACGTATAACACGGTAAGCAGTAAAGTGTATCGAGAAGAAGGCTGTAGGAAAGTCCAAATTGAATTTGTCATTTTTTGCGCAATTAATTGAATCTTTTATACTTTACTTTTCATTTTTGTTTGTATTGACAAATATAGAAGGAAAAATAAAATACACCTACTCTTTTTTAACCGTTTTATTGCACTCTTGTAAGTATTCGTGTCATTAATTTTTTTTCATTTTCTTTTTGCTTTTTTCACATTTCATGCAACATTTTCGTTTTTCAACAATATTCCTCACGTGTTTCGTACCTACGTACCCAAAATTATATGGGAATTATTTAATGAGTGAGATATGAAATAATAATTTTAGATACATATATTCTTTTTTATATCTAACATCGAAAATAGTATAATTAGATTATATAAAATTTTATTTATTAAGGTCAAAGTGTTATATCATTATTCATGTTTCAAATATTTAATTTTATTTGTGCGTTGAGTGTTCCTTTTAAGCAATACTTTTACCTCATGAGCTAACTATTTTACCTTTCTTTAAGGAAAAAAAAAAAGGTTAAAAAAAGGTTTACATGTTTATCCAATTAATTGTAAATATTGGGTCATAAAATGATTCCTTCCACATTTCTTTCTTTATCTTAAAGTATTGGACTCTCTAATTTCAAAAGAGGAATATTATTTGTTAGTCCAATATATGATTGACAATTCTGAGAGATCAAGTTTTTTAAAAAGAAAAAAAAACTAAGTTACATTCATAATTTAGGCTTTCCCTTTTTCTTTATCAAATCTACGCTAATAATTTAAAGTTACGACTTGCCGACAAAGTTATCTTACATCTCATATTATATATACATTATTTCTGTTTATGCGCTCTCTAGAAAAATAATATTTATAAAAATGAGGAAAATAACATCGTAGAGTTAGGAAAAGCAAGTTACATGACATTTCACATAGAATTTGTCATTTCCATTCTTCAACACACGACACGTCTCATTTTTAAGATAGAATTAATGATTTTTCTTTGCTTACTTAGCGAATACAATAAAATAAATACATAAAAGAGATTTTTAAAAGGTATTTTTTTTTTCTCCTTTGTAACAAACACACCTCAATTCGGCTAATTAAGTTATTCCCTTTTACTTTGACTCATATTAGAGTTATCGTGAACGCTTAACTTCATTAATCATTTGAAAACTAATAATGATACAATTAATGGGGATTAATTTTTTTAAAGAAAGGTATGGATTTAATATGATATTGTAACCTATAATGTGTAATTATGTTGTAATTATGGAATGTGATTTTTTATATAATAGTAGTAGTGTATTTCTTTTGAAAGCAATTTTCCAACAGTATTTCTTTATCTGAACATAACTCCCAAAAAAGGACAATTTTATAATTCGAGTTCCTTGTAGTTTTACGTCAATTATGCGAGTCTCTCAATTGTGTCATCCTTTAATCAACACTAGCGTATACCACTTGATTTCGAATAATGAAGTTCGTCAATTAGAAATTAAGTAAACAAATAAGTAAGTGTTATTTACCATCAAATGATGTGGTGCAGTGGATAGGGTTGTTCTTCTCTTAATCAGAGGTATGGGGTTAGAGTTTTGGGTATAAAAAAATATTTGATAGAGAGCGTTTCCACCCTAATGGAGGCCTACTCGGTGTGAGTCCAAAATAGTAGGACTCCAATACACGTACCGGACACCAAGTGAAAAAAATGGAAATTCTAAAAAAAAATCGAGGAAAATTGGAGATATTCGTCTATCAAATACGTTTAATGTACATTATGTATTGTTGTATGACAAATGTCATCACTTCATTCGTTATTTGATTGAAGATAACTAGCGAAACCTTATTATAGATTAATTCACCAAACTAGCCTAGAAATTAGGTGAAAGAGTCATTTCAATGCATAATCCCATTATGATTATTTTTCAGAATTAACTAATGATGGATTCCATTGATCACAACATATATATATAGAGAGAGTAATTTTAACAAGTAAAATATGAGAAAAAATAGTGTGTATACAAATCTTATTCTTACTTTCTAGAGATACATATATTATTTTTGATAGACAATAGCCTCGAGTAACACAATTAAAAGTAAATTGACAAAAATGCAAATACATGTGATAGGAAAAACATACTGAACTAACAAATATACAATCATCAAACCACAAGAAACACGAGTGGAAACTAAAAATGAAAAGCAAGAAACACGAGTGGAAACTAAAAATGAAAAGCAAGAAACTATTAAAATAGTGTTAATACTACTGATAAAAATGCAAGTAGAGATAATGAAATTAAAAATCTGTTAATAATAGAATAAAAAAGAAATAATTTAAAGGAAAAATACAATTTGGTCTCATCATGATAATTCTCTAACGTCAGGAGCAATGTTATTTGCCGGTAGCAAGGTTGTCATCATGTACTCACATTTTGTCATATGACGAGACAAATTAGAGGCTTATCATGATATAAGTAATATATATGCCTTTTCCACTGTTTTCTTTATTCACAAAGAAAATAACATTAAATCTCACGAATCAAGTTCATGATACGTATTTTGGTCAGTTTAGCGTAATAAATTCTTGTGAATTTGTTCCTTGAGTTACGTTATTATTAAGTTCAAAAGTGCATGTCTTATTAATTTGTACAAATTCAACTAAGATGTATATTATATATAACTTTTTTCAGAAGCTTATCAGATTAGAAAATTTGTCAATTCTTCTTCTCTATGACCCGCCCTCGTTAATCTTAGGTGTGGAATTAAACTTTTGTTGGTTAGAAATAAATGGAAAAGAAAAATCAGATTCTTGAAAAAGGAGTATGCATGGGAAAAGGAAGAAAAATCTAGAGAGATAGCTAGGCTGGAGCCAACAAAATATCATATCACAAAAAGATGGAATTGGCTTTTGTCACTTCATTTTCAACTTCAACATAAAATCGTAGGATATTTCATAATCATATTCTTAATTACTCAATGCTACTGTTATTTTTAACATCTTACGGTTCATTTGTGCATGCATGCCCTCTATGTTCGGTACGTTAATTTTAAAATATTTATTCGCATTCAATATTTTATATCAAGTGAAGTCATAAAAATTATTATTAGTATATAGTAGTTAGTCATCACCACATATTTTGTATTCATTGATTCTAGAAACCAAGGAGATATATGTTCTAAAGCTTATATAATTAATTTAAGAAATATTTAGCATGAAATAATAGTTTCTTTTAGGTTCCATCCTTAAAAATGAAATCGTTTATGTAAGTGAGCGCTTAAGTGGAATATATTTTCCCCACACATGTACAAATTAATTAATCAAGTTACATAATAGATACTGAACATCGAGTGAAACAACAAACAAGATTCTCATAAATTTTAACATTTTTATAAAGTGGTCAATTACACATCGAAGTTAACTTTAATTTTTCCTCTCTTTTAACTTCAAATACACATTATCCAAATGCCTACTTAATGATCATTTAAGAAATTTCATGGAAATTAATCAAGATTGTCTTATCTACTTATTGGTAAGTAGTCAATTTTATTTAGGCTTTAAATTTGGTGACTGAATCTTGAAAAAGTCTTATCTGTCCAACTTATTACAAAGTTGAGAGAGTCTTTTAATTGTTCTATACTTTAAGGAAGCTCCATATTGTAAAGCTAGTTGCTTACTTTCATTTTTACCTAATTTTGCTTAATTAATATTATCCAAAATTTGTAAACATTATTAATCATTCAACTGCTCTTTCCTTATAACAATACTCTATAGCTTTTTAGCTACAGCTACTTTGACCAATCCAATAAAACTACATAGTGCATGCTTCTTCAATAATACAATTTAAAAGGGGGAAATAAAATTATGTAATTAATTTAATGATGGAATAAACGAGTTTTGGTAGGAATTTTAAATAAATGACTGACTAAGGTTCTAAGAGTAATTTTTTTTATTATTATATATATATAGGGTGAAAACTACTTATTTTTAGGTATGAGAAATAACTTTTGTTACTTACTCAAAAACATTACTTTTTTCTTAGAAGTTTGACTGTACTTTCTAAAATAAGAATTTTAACAACAGTATTTTTTATTTTTCAGAAGCTTGACCAAATAGATCATAAGTTATGTTACGTATGAAAGAGCCCCCTCCAAAAATCTTGGATAATTTGATTTTCAATTAACATTAATTCAAT